CTCCCTGACAGTGAGGACAATTAATCAGTGGAACAGCCTGCCTCCAGAAGTTGGGGCTGCTCCAACACTGGAAGTTTTTAAGAAGAGACTGGACAGCCATTTGTCTGAAATGGTATAAAGTCTCCTGCTGGAGCAGGGGGTTGGACTAGATGACCTCCAAGGTCCCTCCCAGCTCTATTCTGACTGATTGACTGACTTAAGACAGTTTTTCACATTTACGACCATCCCCATACTCACGCGATCAAAATTCAGATGCTTGGCCACTGACTCGTATTTACAACAGTTGCAATGGTTGGGCGGCTATAGGAAGGAAGGAAGGAAGGAAGGAAGGAAGGAAGGAAAGGAAGAAAAGAAGGAAGGAAGGAAGAAAAAAGAAAGAAAGAGAAGGAAGAAAGAAAGAGAAGGAAGGAAGGAAGGAAGGAAGAAAGAAAAAAGAGAAGGAAGGAAGGGAGAAAGGAAGGAAGAAAGAAAGAAGGATGGAAGGAAGGAAGAGAAGGAAGAAAGGAAGGAAGGAAGGAAGAAAAGAGAAGGAAGGAAGAAAGAGAAGGAAGAAAGGAAGAAGAAAAAAGAAAGAAAGAGAAGGAAGGAAGGAAGATAGAAAGAAAAAAAGAAAGAGAAGGATGGAAGGAAGGAAGAGAAGGAAGAAAGGAAGGAAGGAAGAAAGAGAAGGAAGAAAGGAAGGAAGGAAGAAAAAAGAAAGAAAGAGAAGGAAGGAAGGAAGAAAAAAAGAAAGAGAAGGAAGAAAGAGAAGGAAGAAAGGAAGGAAGGAAGAAAAAAGAAAGGAAGGAAGGAAGGAAGGAAGAAAAAAGAAAGAGAAAGAAAGAAAGGAAGGAAGGAAGGAAGAAAAAGAAAGAGAAGGAAGGAAGGAAGCCTTTAAACAGATCACCTTCTCCAAAGAATAGGCCGTCCAAGAAGTCCCACCTCCCAAGATGTAAATTCTCTGCCCATCGTGCGCGATTTCGTGTCTGTATCTGAAACGACAGAGCCAGAGATAGAATCAACATTTAAGAATACTGTATGGATCTAAGAAAGGAGAACATCTGTCGCGTTGAAACGAGGGATCCTTGGTGCTCTCCCAGAGCTCAGAGAGCACTAAGGACCCCTCACTCAACAGATCGTGATTTAGCCAACCGGCTGATCCTAAAGGAAACCAACCCTGGCTGCTCTTTGGAAGGACAGATCCCGAAGCCGAGGCTCAAAAGACTTTGGCCACCGAATGGGGACTCATCGGAAAAAGACTCTCACATCGGGAACGATGGAAGGCGAAAGGAGGAGGAGAAGACAGCAGAGTGTGAGAAAGTGATCGATGCAACGATAACTTTCGGGCAATTTGGGCAAACTCCGCAGATAATAGAGGATGGGGGTGGGAGCTGGCATGCTCTGGTCTAGTTTGTTTGTTTTTTAATGGCCTTGATAGTGAGACTGGAGACGTATCAATGTAATCAATAAAATGGGCAGATACAGCAGTGGCCAAAATGGTGGAAACCTTTTGGGGAAAGTGTACGGTAGATATGCCACCTTTGGTTAAGTTTCTGCCTGTTTTTCTTCTCATTTCTTGATACCTGTAGCCTTGTTCACTTAATAAGACTATTTTAAATCGCTTTCTGGGCGACCGGTCAACTCTTTGCACTGTGACTTTAATTTGATTAACGTTTTACAAGCTCACTAAATGAAAGAACGCCGAAAAAACTCCAACCAACGTGACAACCATCACATAACACACTGACAAATGTCTTCCTCTCAGCTTCAATACAAGAGATCAATAACTGGAATCCCGCCTGTGATCTGACTGGCTCATGGCCAAAACAAGAGGACACCTGATTGGCTCTCTAAACCAGTGGTTCTCAACCTTTTTAATGCCGCGACCCCCCAACCGGTCGTAAGTCGAGGACTACTCAACCGGTCCTAAGTCGAGGACTACTCAACTGGTGCAGCACAGTTTGCAGAATGGGACTTTTGGCGGGCTCAGCAGGGCAGAGACAGCCTGGACAATTCCTGTTGGCTTTTGAAAGCCAATAGAATTAGACTCTATTCAAGAGAGTCTCTTCTATTGGCTTCCAAAAGCCAATAGAATAAAAGGGAGTAGCACAGCTAAGGAAAAGGGAGAAAAAATGGCAGACTGCATTGTTTGGCGACCCCCGTGAAATGGTCGTTCGACCCCAAATGGGGTCCCGACCCACAGGTGGAGAACCACTGCTCTAAACGCTCCTGCTCATTGGCTACCATCAGGTGAAGGAAAGCTACCTGAGATCAACCTGAGCAAATTGTGCTTCCTTTTTCTGGTTATTTGGCTGTTAACTTTTCATAGAACACAATACAGATAATTGAACCAACTCTGTCGCATTACATTCTCGATTAAATTATCTTTCCATTGATATATAATTTTATGGTACTGCTCCCCCCCCCAAAAAAGCGCTGTTATTAGCCATCGAACCTCAAATGTACATTTTTCCCAAAAGTTTTCCACAATTTGGGCCACTACTGTAAATGACAGTACTCGAAGTTTTGTTGAAAATATATAACTGGTTTCAACTGTCCACAAAGAGGGTTTTGTTTTTTGTTTTTAAAAAAGAAGGGGTCTCTCATTGTTTCTTCCAGGAGACATTCTGGGCACAAGAGAGCCCCCAGACCGCGGATTTGGGCCCAGCTGACCTTTCCTCTGGCATGTCACAGTGCAGGTTGTTTGGCTTGAGCTGTGTCCACTCCTTGGTGTTGAGGTCCAGCTTATGCAGGTCTGTGCTGTAGATATAGCCGGTCGTTCCTCCAAACACGTACAAAGAGCCGCTAATGATGGCCATCGCCTGACAGAGAGAAAAGACAGGGTCATGTGAAAATATGTTGGGTTTCATGTAAGCTACATAAAGGGAGACCAGGCTCAGAGACAGGAGCTGGGACCTTGGAGCCCTGGTGGGGGATCCCTTCAACCAGGGGTCTTCAAATTTGGCTCTTTGATGACTTGTGGACTTCAACTCCCAGAATTCCTCAGCCAGCATGGACCATCTAAGCCAGGGGTCTTCAAAGCTGGCCCTTGTATGACTTGTGGACTTCAACTCCCAGAATTCCTCAGCCAGCATGGACCATATAAGCCAGGGGTCTTTACACTTGGCCCTTTGATGACTTGTGGACTTCAGCTCCCAGAATTCCTCAGCCAGCCTCCATTTTGTTTGTTTAGATTTAAGACAAGGGCCTTCAAACCTGGCCGTTTTATGACTTGCGGACTTCAACTCCTAGAATTCCTCAGCCAGCTTCCATTTTGTTTGTTAGATTTAAGACAGGGGTCTTCAAACGTGGCCCCTTTTATGACTTGTGGACTTCAGCTCCCAGAATTCCTCAGCCAGCCTCTATTGTGTTTGTTAGATTTAAGACGGGGGTCTTCAAAATTGGCCCTTTTATGACTTGTGGACTTGGCTGAGGAATTCTGGGAGTTGAAGTCCACAAGTCATCAAAGGGCCAAGTTTGAAGACCCCTGATATAGAATTCTTCAGCCAGCATGGACCATATAAGCCAGGGGTCTTCAAACTTGGCCCTTTGATGACTTCAACTCCCAGGCATGTTGGCTGAGGAATTCTGGGAATTGAAGTCCACAAGTCATCAAAGGGCCAAGCTTGAAGACCCCCTGCCTTAAACAATCCCTTAAACATGAGCCAGCCGTGTGCAGCGGCAGCCAAAACAGCTAATACAATCCTGGGTTGTATAAAAACGGAGGGACAGAATCAAAATCACGTGAACTATTAGTACTGCTTTATAAAGCCTTAGTGAGGCCACGCCTGGAATCCTGCATCCAGTTTTGGTCTCCACATTACAAAAAAAGATGGTGAGACTTCGGGAAAAGCGCAGAGAAGAGCAACTAAGAAAAGCCTGGAGACTAAAATATACGAAGAACGGTTGCAGGATTTGGGAATGGCCAGAAAAGAAGGACTGGGGGGGGGGGGACACATGATAGCACTGTTCCAATATGTGAGGGGTAGCCACATAGGTGTGTGGGGGGGGGGTCCAACTTATTTTCCAAAGCCCCAGAAGGCAGGATAAGAAGCAACAAATGGAAACTAACCAAGGAGAGAAGCAACCACTGTTAGGGAGAAACTTCCGAACGGTGAGGACAATGGACCAGTGGAACAGCTTGCCTCAACAAGTTGTGTGTGCTTCAACACTGGAGGTTTTTAAAGAAGAGACCGGACAGTCACTTGTCTGAAATGGTAGACGGTCTCCTGCTTGAGCGGGGTGGGGTGGGGATTGACTAGAAGACCTCCAAGGTCCCTTACAGCTCTCTTCTGATTGAAAGATGTTGGGCTAAATGATGGTTGTAAGTCTGTCGTGGTTCCCACAGATGAAACTCTTCAAAGAACTTTGAGGCATTGTTTACTTTAAAGCAGTGGTTCTCAACCTTTTTAATGCCGCGACCCCCAACCGGTCGTAAGTCGAGGACTACTCCACTGGTGCAGCACCGTTTGCAGAATGGGACTTTTGGCGGGCTCAGCAGGGCAGAGACAGCCTGGACAATTCCTATTGGCTTTGGAAAGCCAATAGAATTAGACTCTATTCAAGAGAGTCTCTTCTATTGGCTTTCAAAAGCCAATAGAATAAAAGGGAGTAGCACAGCTAAGGAAAAGGGGGAAAAAAATGGCGGACTGCGTTATTTGCGACCCCCGTGAAGTGGTCGTTCGACCCCAAATGGGGTCCCGACCCATAGGTTGAGAACCACTGCCTTAAAGAATCTTTATTTGAGTAGCATAACATCGGCACTAACACAGTCAAAGCCAAAAACTGGATTCCCCTCCCCTGAGCACGTAGTATCAAAGCACAATTCCCTCCTCCAATTAACAGTCATAAATCACATTCCCCAATTAGTTTGAAATGTAGACTTTCCCTCCATTACTCCATCCTGCCATTTCTTATCATCTCATCATCATCACCGTAATAATAATAACAATAATAAAGTTGGAAGGGACATTGGAGGTCATCGAGTCCAACCCCCTGCTCAGGCAGGAAACCCTACACCATTTCAGACAAATGGCTGCCCAGTCTCTTCTTAAAAACTTCCAGTGTTGGAGCATTCACCGCTTCTGGAGGCAGGTTGTTCCACTGGTTAATTGTCCTCACTGTCAGGAAATTTCTCCTTAGTTCTAGGTTGCTTCTCTCCTTGATGAGTTTCCATCTGTTGCTTTTTGTCCTGCCTTCAGGGGCTTTGGAGAATAGCTTGACTGCCTCTTCTTTGGGGCAGCCCCTGAGATACTGGAAGACTGCTATCATGTTCCCCCTCGTCCTTCTCTTCATTAAACTAGACCAGGGGTAGGCAACCTCGGCTCTTTTATGACTCATGGACTTCAACTCCCAGAATTCCCGAGTCAGCATGGGAGTTGAAGTCCATGAGGCATAAAAGAGCCGAGGTTGCCTATCCCTGAACTAGACATATCCAATTCCAGCAACCGTTCTTCGTATGTTTTAGCCTCCAGTCCCCTGAACCTCTTTGTTGCTCTTCTCTGGACTCTTTCCAGAGTCTCAGCATCTTTTTTACATCGTGGTGACCAAAACTGGAGACCGTATTCCAGGTGTACCAAGGCCTTGTAAAGTGGTATTAACCCTTCAGGTGATCTTGATTCTATCCCACTGTTAATGCAGCCCAGCACTGTGTTGGCCTTTTTGGCAGCTGCAGCACAATTCTCCAATTAGTTTGAAATGAAGACTTTCCCTCCATTACTCCACCCCGCCATTTCCTATCATCTCTTATTTCAAAAGCCCTGAATACAATATTGTTAGGTCTGGCTAAACTCCAGTGCACATTCCTCCCCCCCCCCCCAGTATCATCTAATTCTCAGAGTTAAGCATTAGAAAGAACGAGGCTACATCTCCACATATCGTCAAAGCAAGGACAGCCAATGTTAGCACCCTTTACTTCCAATTTTTTTTTTAACCTAACTTTGTTAACGTTATTATTTCTGATTTCACCGTCTCCTCCAATAGCCAGATGGGCGGCATGTAAATTTAATCCATCAAGGAACGTGTCCTAACTAATCAGCAAGGCCGTGGCTGCCCTGTTACCTGTCCGTAGATGCGGTTCGGCTTCTTCCCTCGGCAATTGAACAGGGCCCACCGCTTGTACTTCACGTTGCAGACGTGAACGTCATTGCCGTTGCTCTCCCCAAAGGGGATTCCGGTGCCACCAAAGACCAAGAGGTTATTGCCGTGTAACACAACTGCGAAAGACAACACAAAACGGGGGTTTTGGGTGACCGAGAGAGGCAAGAAAGAAACGGATCCACATTAGGTCACAAATGACGGCTTCAGTCCTTGGCTTACGACCGCAACGGAGCCAAACGTTTCCGTGGCGGGAGCGAACCGGTTGTTAAGTGAGTTTGGCCCCACTTTTACGCCCTTTCTCGCCACGGTCGTTAAGGGAAGCGCGGCAGTTATTCCAATTTGTAACGCGGCTGTTAAATCAACCCGGCTTCCCTCGTTGAGTTGGCTTGTCGGAAGGTCGTTAAAAAAAGGATCACGTGATCCGGTGCCGCTGTCACATTGAATTAAATGAATTTGGAGCCCAATCAGATGCCCATAGAAGTCAAGCAAAAATAAAAATTAAAAAAGGAATATAATGCACTATATTTCTAGCATCCATTATTTTTTTTATTGAAAATTTTTAAAAGCTTTTACAAAGACAAAAAAACAATAACAATAACAACCACAACAACAAAAAAACAAAACAATACAACCCTCCCCCATCCATTATTTGACTTCAGCTTTAGGAACGGTTTTAAATCAAAGACGGAATTCAAAATACAGACGCTTCTGTACAAGTTTGACTCTAAAGGATGGGTAGTCCTCAACTTATGACCACTGAGCCCAAACTTTCTGATGCTCAGTGAAACATTTCTTAAGTCAGCTCTGCCCCCATTTTACGACCTTTCTTGCTGTGGTTGTTAAGTTAGCAACACGGTTATTAAGCGAATCCAGTTTCTGCCATCGGCTTCGCTTGTCGGAATGTCGTAAAAGGGGATTACGTCACCCCGGACGCTGCAACCATCGTAAATGTGAGCCAGTTGCCAAGCGACTGAATTTTGATCACGTAACCATGGGACGCTGCAACCATCATAAATACGAGTCAGTTGCCAAGTGACTGGACTTTGATCACGTGACCACGGGGTGATGCCGCAATCGTCCTAAATGTGGAAAAATGCTCATGTTGCTTTTTTCACTGACGTAACTTCGGCCAATAAACGAACGGTTGTAAGTCAAGGACTGCCTGTAATCGAGCACAGAGAAGTTGCAACGACACACGTAACGTAATTGCCTCGTCCTCAATCTTATTCGAATATAGTTTTTTGCACAGAGAAGCGTGCTTAATTGGACGTATTCAATTAAGAGACCCCACTGACTGGGGGTGAGCAGGGGGCCCTAAAACTAGACAGAAATGGGAAAATGCAGCCTAATCAAATGATCTGAAAAGGTAGGAAAGGGAAACACAAGCACAAAATCCGATGGCGTGATCAGCGTGGCGCACTTGAAACCGTTTGCCCGTCTGCCACTTACGCGACATGGATGCCAACTCCCGGGGCATGTAGCCCTCCGTGCCCATCTGGTGCCAGGTGCCGGTAGCAAAGTTGTATCGCCAGAGCTCCCGGAAGAGTGGGTAGTCCTCGTTCTCTGGCCCTCCAGATTCGTCGTAGTCAGGATTGTATCCTCCGAACACGTAGAGATTGGCATTGTCGGCTACGCAGCGGTGGCCGCTCCTGGCCGGTGGCACCCTGTGGCCTAAAGCAGAATGAAGCCCTTAATAAGGAATAAATGAAGGATGAAGCATCGGAAGGCAGAAGCAACGGATGGAAAATAGTCAAGGAGAGAAGTGACCTGGAATTAAGGAGAAACTTCCTGACAGTGGGGACAATTAACCAGTGGAACAACCTGCCTCCAGAAGCGGTGAATGCTCCAACACTGGAGGTTTTTAAGAAGAGACTGGACAGTCACTTGTCTGAAATGGGATAGGGTTTCCTGCCTGAGCAGGGGGTTGGACTAGAATACCTCCAAGGTCCCTTCCAACTATATGATTCTATGTTCAATTTGGAGAAATAAGGAGGAATTTCCTGTCAGTGAGAACAACTAACCAGTGGAACAGCTTGCCACCAGAAGTTGTGGGTGCTCCACCACTGGAGGTTTTTAAGAAGACACTAGACAGCCACTTGTCTGAAATAGTATAGGGCAGTGGTTCTCAACCTGTGGGTCGGGACCCCATTTGGGGTCGAACGACCATTTCACGGGGGTCGCCAAACAAGGCTGTCCGCCATTTTTTTCTCCTTTTCTTTGGCCATGCCCCTGGCACCCGATGATGTATAAGTGGTTGGGGGTCACCACAACATGAGGAACTGTATTATGGGGTCGTGGCATTAGAAAGGTTGAGAACCACTGGTATAGGGTTTCCTACTTGAGCAAGGGGTTGGACTAGATGACCTCCAAGCTCCTTCCCAGCTCTCTTGTGATTGACTGATTGACTGACTGACTGACTGAAATGGTACAGGATCTCCTGCTTGAGCAGAGGGCTGGCCTAGACCTCCAAGGTCCCTTCCAGCTTCTTCTTTTTTTTTAATTTTTATTATTTTTCACCATACACCATACACCAAAACAAACTTAAAATACATAAACATAAATCTTTTAACAGAGCAGTACTCTACATTTTAAGCATTCTTTACATCTTATTTACATTTTATGTACATCAATAATTATGTCTTTTTCTTTCTCTGTTTTAGCCAATAACATTTATTTCAAATTTCATAAAATTCTGTCGCCTCCTTGTCTTTTAATTCTAACGTAAGTTTGTACGTTTCTGCGCATTCCAAGATTTTGTACATAATCTATCATTTGTGGGAATATTTTCACTCTTCCAATATTGAGCATATGCTATACGAGCTGCAGTCAATATGTGTATAATGATGTGTTGGAGTTGTTTTTCCATCTTTAAATTTATTATGCCCAAAAGAAATAATTCTGGTTTGAAATCCATTTGTATCTCAGTTATCTCCTGTATCCAATCTCTTATTCGTTCCCAATAATTTTTGCTTTGGGGCACAGCCACCACATGTGATAAAATGTTCCTTCTCTGATTTTACATTTCTAACACTTCGGGTCTATGTTTTTATACATTTCAGCCAATCTCGCCGGTGTTAAATGCCATCTGTAAATCATTTTATACTGATTCTCTCTGTATGCAGTTGATAGCGTCAATGTGCAATTTATGTTCCATAATCTTTTCCATTCCTCTAAATTTATATTTCGCCCCACATTTCGTGCCCACGCTATCATTGGCCCCTTCACTATTTCTTCCTTTAACTCTATCTCTAATAGGTATTTATACATTTTTGATAATAGTTTTCCTTCCTTCCTTATTAGAATTTTATCAAGTTGTTATGGGGTCAGCTTCTAAGAAACCTGGTTTAGCGTTACCCCTGCAACACTTCAGGGATTGCCTGAAAACTGCCATTTCATTCAATCAAGAAAGTGAATATATCTCTCTTGTTTTTCTTTCCCAATTTCTTTTTCTTTCTTGCACCGGATTGTAACGATACCCTTAGCTCTAAGCAAAAAAAAAAAAAAAAGTATTTTTTGACCCCGGAAAGTAGAATGTAATACAGTAAATCAAATCCACCCAGAAACAAACAGCATTTTTTTCCCTTCGCTATTTGCTTGGGAGCAAGGCTATACAGTTTAAGCATGGACTTCATAGGTGCAAAACAATCTAATCCAGTGGTTCTCAACCTGTGGGTCGGGAACCCATTTGGGGTCGAACGACCATTTCACGGGGGTCGCCAAACAACGCAGTCCACCATTTTTTCCCCCCTTTTCCCTAGCTGTGCTACTCCCTTTTATTCTATTGGCTTTTGAAAGCCAATAGAATAGGCTCTCTTGAATAGAGTCTCATTCTATTGGCTTTCAAAAGCTAATAGGAATTGTCCAGGCTGTCTCTGCCCTGCTGAGCCCGCCAAAAGTCCCATTCTGCAAATGGTGCTGCACCAGTTGAGTAGTCCTCGACTTACGACCGGTTGGGAGTCGCGGCATTAAAAAGGTTGAGAACCACTGATCTAATCTGACAAGAAGCCCAGCTTGGTCCAGCAGTAGGAAAGGACGTTTTCCAGAACAGAACGTGCACGGAAAGAAAATCAATTTGGTGCAGAGGTCAAAGGTTTAGAAATGGGGAGCCCGTAATTTGTTTAGTGCTGTCGTTTTCAAAGTTCCTGATAGCTGACCAAAGCTGCTGAAAAAGAACAGCATAACTTCCTATTACTTTGACGTGGTTAGTAAGTCCCTGCAGATGCAAAAAGCACAGCCTTCCTCAAATTGAGGTCAGCTCTCAGTGACTGCCACAGAGTTTTCCTGCTAAAAACAGGGAAGTGAGGATCCATCTCCCTTTTCTAGCTCTGCTTTCTATCTTTAGCTACACTGTACGACTTAGAAGTTTTGTAGCTCAGGGTTGAAGTGTTGAGTCCTTGGTGGTTTGTGAGCTGGGCTGTTTTCTTGCAGACATGATCAGGGAGTGGAAATTGTAGAGAAGAAGAGAAGGAGAAAGGGAAGAGAAAGGAGGAGAAGGAATGAAGGCGGAGAAGGAGGAGCATGAGGACTGTGGGGTCCTGGGTGCTCTCTGAGCTGGGTGGTTTCCTTGCAGATGTTTCATGACCCAACTAGGTGACATTATCAGGGAGTGGAAGTTGTGGAGAAGAGGAGGAGAAGGAGAAAGAGAAAGGGGAAGGAATGAAGGCGAAGGAGGAGGAAGAGGAAGGTGGTGGGGTCCTTGGCCTGTCAGTATTGATGGGAGTGGTCTCAGACATTCCTCCATTAGGAAGTTCCTTGATTGTTTGCTGTTATTCTGAGTTAGTAACTCCTTGGGTTGGGTAATAAACAGAGAGCCAACCCCACACCCTCCGAGTACTGATGATGCTACCTAGTTGAGTCATGAAACGTCTGCAAGAAAGCCAACAAGCAGATGGCATCAAAGATCTCTCTTCTTCGCAAAGCTAACTCCTTTCTAGCACTGATGATGTTACCCAGTTGGCTCACGAAATGTCTGCAAGGAAAACCACCCAGCTCCGAGAGCACCAAGGACCCCACAGTCCGTCCTTCCTTCCTTCTCCTCCTTTCCACTCCTTTCTAGCACTGATGACATTCCCTAGTTGGGTCATGAAATGTCTGCAAGGAAACCACCTAGCTCAGAGAGCACCAAGGACCCCACAATTGTTCTCTCTCTCTCTCCTTCCTTCCTCTCTCCTTCCTTCCTCTCTCTGCTCTATTCTCCTTCCTCCCTCCCTCTTTTTCCCCTTCCTTCCTTCCTTCCTTCCTTCCTTCCTTCCTTCCTTCCTTCCTTCCCTGGTCAGGTTCCCTATTCGGGTTATAAAACATCTGCAAGGAAGCCCCCAACTCTGAGAGTACCAAGGACTCCAAAGTCCTCCTTTTCTCTCTTCCTCCCTTTTCCTCCTCTTCACTCCCTTCCACAACTGATGATGTTCCCTAGCTGGGTCATGAAACGTCTGCAAGGAAATCACCCAGCTCAGAGAGCACCAAGGACCCCACCCTGGGATTTCCTGGTGGTCCCCTATCCAGGCACTAACCCTAACAAGGACTGACCATCTCCCCCCCCCTTTTTCAAACCAATCAGCCCAGCCAAGACCCGCAGTCCCAACTCTGCCCCACACCTTTAAAGCGACTCCCCCACTACCTCCTCCAGGGGGCCTCACTCCCAGATAGAGTGCCCTGGGGCAAGGAAGCTCCACTCCCCGCCCACTTTGCCTCCTCCAGGGGGCAGGAGCAGCTTTCCCGGGGCCCGCTGGAGGAGGGAGGGCGACGGAGGGCCGGTCACGCCCGACCGGGCCTACCTCGCAGGGGTGTTGCGGCGAGGCCTAGCAAGCCAAGAGGCGAACGGAGCGAGGGAGAGGCCTCCCTCTCACTCACCGCCGCGTCCAGGGCCGGGTGGGAGGCGGACGAAGCGGTTGAGGAGCCCCCCGGGCGGGGCCTGGGTGGCCGGCCCGTCGCCGCTGCCCCCTCCGCGCTGCCCGTTGCCGTCCCAGGCCTCTCCGTCGGCCGCAGACATGCTCCCCGCCGGGCCGGGCCTCGCCCCGCGTCCCCCAACGGCCGACCGGCAGAGCCCACCTCAGCCGCCTCAAGGGAGCGCGACAAGGCGACAGCGGCGAGGGCCCGTAGAGCGGCGTTTCTTTCCCCCCCCTCCGCGGGCCAATCAGCCTCGCCTTTGCTCCGCGCCAGCCAATCGGAGGCGCGCGTGTTGCGAGGCGAAGCGGGGAGGGCGGATTACCATAGAGAGCGGTCGCGTTGACCACCCGCCGGCACCACGTGACCGGCAGGGAGCCGCGGGTCGCCAATCCTCCCTCCGCTTCGCGCGGCCTGCGCCGTCGGCACGCAGGGCAGGCAGAAGCAATCGAAGGCAGAACGGCTTGTCTCTCTCGCGCGCGTGCGCGCTCGCGCCTTATTCGCAAGGGCTGCTGGGGGCTGTAGTTCCGCAAGGCAGTAGCCGCCAAGGGCCATTTTCAATAGACTCGGCCACAGTTCCTGAAATTTGTGCAGCGTGGTCCTATCTTGTGGTCTCCAGCCGGTGGCTGGGGATGATGGGAATTGCAGTGACCACCCTGGAAAAAAAAAGCAACAGGTTGGGAAGGCAGACTTGAAATAGATAAAAATAGAAAGATTAAAAAAAGCACCCAATAATAAATAGCCTCTCTAAGATCTCAACAAAAATTGAGTGTCCCACCATCGGTTGTTTGTGGTGTACCGACAGTCCTCGACTTACAACTATTCATTTAGTGACTGTTCAAAATTAACCACGGCACTGAAAAAGGCCAAGCCTCTCCCCACCTTCCTATTCCAATCCAGGGACCTTCCCCAACAGGGTGCCCTCCAGGTGTATTAAACGGTCAGTCTCAGAAACTCCCCAGGTTAATAGTAATAATAATAATAATAATAATAATAATAATAATAATAATAATAATAATGACTCCATACGTAGACAAAATGCCAAATCCAGTCTGAACATCTGGCTGACTGTGCCATGATCCATAATAATAATAATAATAATAATAATAATGATGATGATGATGTTGGAAGGGACCTTGGAGGTCATCTAGTCCAACCTCCTGCTCAGGCAGGACACCCTTTACATTCGGACAAATGGCTGTCCAGTCTCTTCTTAAAAATTTCCAGTGTTGGAGCATTTACAGCTTCTGGAGGCAGGTGGTTCCACTGGTTAATTGTTCTCACTGTCAGGAAATTTATCCTTACTTCCAGGTTGCTTCTCTCCTTGATCAGTTTCCATCTGTTGCTTCTTGTCCTGCCTTCAGGTGCTTTGGAGAATAGATTGGCTCCCTCTTCTTTGGGGCAGCCCCTGAGATACTGGAAGGCTGCTATCCTGTCCCCCCTAATCTTTCTCTTCATTAAACTAGATTACAGGAGTAGGCAACCTCGGCTCTTTTATGACTCGTGGACTTCAACTCCCAGAATTCCTGAGCCAGCCGTGCTGAGGGGAAAGGGAGAGGTTTCCAAGCTGAGCCAGGCTGGCTCAGGAATTCTGGGAGTTGAAGTCCACAAGTCATAAAAGAGCCAAGGTTGCCTACCCCTGAACTACATACCCAATTCCAGCAACCGTTCCTTATATGTTTTAGCCTCCAGTCCCCTAATCCTCTTTGTTGCTCTTCTCTGGACTCTTTCTAGAGTCTCAGCATCTTTTTTACATCGTGGTGACCAAAACTGGATGTAGTAACCAAAACCAAAACACTCTCAGAAACTCCCCAGGTAAATTAAACGGTCAATCTCAGAAGTTCATTGGCAGGGCTGAAAAAGGTTGGCATGTCCAATCCGGTGCAACGGTGGGATCAACCCAATTGGGGGAGGGGGCTTTTTTTCCAGTCTATGCCCCGCTCCCCATTTCCAGCCCCATGCAGAGGGCCGGAGCAGGCAGTTGAGCTAGGCCGGAACGAACTTTCCCCGGAACTTCCGGTTCCGGCCTGTCGTTAAGGGGGGGGAACGTTTCCACGGACGGACCAAGATGGCGGCGTCCAGCCCTGCGGTGTTTCCCGCTGCCCCGGAGAACGAGAGCGGCACCCTGGCAACCAAACCGAAGTCCCCGGCCATCACGCCGCAGAAGGTGCGGGAGCTGATCGACGAAGGGATCGCCCCGGAGGAGGGCGGGCCGGACAGGTGAGCGCGGAGGGACGGAGCCCGCCCGTCTCCAGCCGGCACCCCGGGCATTGCTCGTCCCCGGCGGAGGAGAGGGCGGCGGTTGGGCCCCAGGAGAGGCGGGCTCTGGCCCCGTTGTGTGAGGGGAAGGGGCTGTGGTATATGGGGACGCCGTGGAGCATTGTTTTCATGGGTGGGGTTTTAATTATTATTGGTCTAGTGGGGAAGGTGCTGGGCGCGAACCAGGAGACGGTGAGTTCTAGTTCCTGCCTTAGGCAAGAAAGCCGGCTGGGTGACTTTGGGCCAATTACCAGGAGACGGTGAATTCTAGTCCTGCCTTAGCCATGAAAGCTTGCTGGGTGACTTTGGGCCAATTACCAGGAGACGGTGAGTTCTAGTCCTGCCTTAGCCATGAAAGCCAATTGGATAACTTTGGGCCAATCACTGGGAGACGGTGAGTTCTAGTCCTGCCTTAGCCATGAAAGCTTGCTGGGTGACTTTGGGCCAATTACCAGGAGACGGTGAGTTCTAGTCCTGCCTTAGCCATGAAAGCTTGCTGGGTGACTTTGGGCCAATTACCAGGAGACGGTGAGTTCTAGTTTTGCCTTAGCCATGAAAGCTTGCTGGGTGACTTTGGGACAATTACCAAGAGACGGTGAGTTCTAGTCCTGCCTTAGCCATGAAAGCTTGCTGGGTGCCTTTGGGCCAATCACCAGGAGATGGTGAGTTCTAGTCCTGCCTTAGCCATGAAAGCCAACTGGATAACTTTGGGCCAATCACTAGGAGACGGAGAGTTCTAGTCCTGCCTTAGCCATGAAAGCCAACTGGATAACTCTGAGTTCTAGTCCTGCTTTAGCCATAAAAGCCTAAGAACGAGGACTGAGCAGCCTTTCATTTGGGAAGTTTCCATTCAGATGGTGCCCTGAGCGGGGGGGGGGGGTGTCAGTCTGAATGGCCTCAAAGGTCCAAGCAACTCAAAAATTCCATTGCTGTGTTTCTCTACTGCAAGTTAGTTTTGTACACTTTTAGGGAGGGGGGGGCTGAAAAAGGGAGATAGGAGAGAAACTACTAAATCCTCGCTATTGTGAATTTAAATCTCTAAATCCTCTTGCTTGCGTTTCAGGAAAGATCCTTCTGTTCTCAGTGAAGTGGCCAATGGCTCTCCCAACACCAATGAACTGCCTTTTGAAGCCACTAGCAAAGACGCTTTCTTCAGCAGAGTGGAAACATTCACCATATCCTTTGGGTCTCAGTTATAAGGCTTAATCTTGGGGGGGGGAGTGCCCAGAGGAAACAAAATATGTAGGTAATCCTCGACTTACGGCCTCAATTGAGCAACAGATTTCTGTTGCTACAGTTGTTAAATGAACACTGCAGTTGTTACGTTAGCCACACGGTTGTTAAGTGAATCTGGCTTCCCCCATTGACTTTGCTCATCAGACGGTCGCAAAAGGGGGTCACGTGACCCCGGGACACTGCAACCGTCATAAATACGAGTCAGTTGCCAAGTCTCTGAATTTCGATATCATGTGATATGGCTGCAACGGACGTAAGTATGAAAAACCATCAGTCACTTTTTTCGGTGCCGGTGTAACTTCGGTCACTAAATGGATTGTTCTAAGTCAAGGACCACTTGTATTTAAAGTGGGAGGTGCTGTTTTCAATGAAAACTGGGTTGTCTCAACAGGTGAAGCATACAATTATTCCCCTCTTGGCTAAGAGCTGTCCAGATGTTGAGAGCTTCCGTAGCTAGCAGTGAGAATTGGATGAAATTTCATGCTAGCTTAATGTCTATGGCAGTGGTTCTCAACCTTTTTAATGCCGTGACCCCCAACCGGTTGTAAGTCGAGGACTACTCAACCGGTCGTAAGTCGAGGACTGGTGCAGCACCGTTTGCAGAATGGGACTTTTGGCGGGCTCAGCAGGGCAGAGACAGCCTGGACAATTCCTATTGGCTTTTGAAAGCCAATAGAATTAAACTCTATTCAAGAGTTTATTCAAAAGCCAATAGAATAAAAGGGAGTAGCACAGCTAAGGAAAAGGGGGGAAAAAATGGCGGACTGCGTTGTTTGGCGACCCCCGTGAAATGGTCGTTCGACCCCAAATGGGGTCCCGACCCACAGGTTGAGAACCACTGGTCTATGGAGATTCTCCGTCATCCAGATCATGGTTGTCAACTGGAGGGTGGGGAATGGATAGATTTATACTCCTTGCAGACCGCTGGTCATTTGCACTCTTTTAGAGAGTCGTTGAGGCCACCTGGAGGTTTGTCTGTCCTCAGGGTCACCTGAGTGGTGCAAATGGGTGTGGAGCCTTCTTGGAACCGCGGAAAGGGTTGGAACACCCATTTACACCACTCAGGTGACCCTGAGGACACAGGTAAATCTCCCAGTGGCCCCAATGATTCTACATTCATTGCAAGGAATATAATTCCTTCCATTCCCCACCATCCGGTCAGAGCTGAAGAAGCTTCTGGGATGAGAAGCGAAACGTCTTCAAAGAAAAAAAAAATCAAAGAGTCCACCTGCCTCCTGAAAAAGCACCTTTTGTTCATGCTAGCCTGTAGGAGTTGATAGGGAAACCAGATTTTCTTAAATCCCCTCAAAAATCTTGAGTCACTCTCCTTAACGCGAACACTCCCTCAAATGGGCAGGCAAGCCCCACGAGCTGTCCCCTCTGATCTGTGCCAAGTACGGGTGGACCAACGTGGAGTGCGACATGTTGAAATGCTCCAGCTGCCAAGCTTACCTCTGTGCCAGTCTGCAGCTGTCTTTCGACTTCAGCAAGTGTAAGATCCTTTGGGGGATCCAGAACATCTGGGAGGCAAATGGAAAGAGGATTTATTTATTGGTTAGTTTGCTAGAAAGCTGTTTGGTCTGCTGGTTAAGGTGCTGGCTATGAACCAGGGGAGGGTGAGTTCTAGTTCTGCCTTAGCCATGAAAGCCAGCTAGCTGATTTTGGCCAATCACCAGGAGACCGTGTGTTCTAGTTCCGCTTTAGCCATGAAAGCCAGCTGGATGACTCTGGGCCCATCATCAGGAGACGGTGAGTTCTAGTCCTGCCTTAGTCAAGAAAACCAGCTGGGTGACTTTGCGTCCATCACCAGGATACGGTGAGTTCTAGTCCCGCCTTAGCCATGAAAGCCAGCTAGCTGATTTTGACCAATCACCAGGATACGGTGAGTTCTAGTCCCGCCTTAGCCATGAAAGCCAGCTAGCTGATTTTGGCCAATCACCAGGAGACCGTGAGTTCTATTCCCGCCTTAGCCATGAAAGTCAGCTGGGTGACTTTGGGCCAATCACGAGGAGACGGTGAGTTTCACCCGAAGGCAGGACAAGAAGCAACGGATGGAAACTCATCAAGGAGAGAAGCAACCTAGAACTAAGGAGAAACTTCCTGACAGTGAGAACAATTAATCAGTGGAACCACCTGCCTCCAGAAGCAGTAAATGCTCCAACACTGGAAGTTTTTAAGAAGAGACTGGACAGCCATTTGTCTGAAATGGTATAGGGTTTCCTCCCTGAGCAGGGGGTTGGACTAGATGACCTCCAAGGTCCCTTCCAACTCTTGTTATTCTATTCTGTTCTATTCATTCTATCCTATCCTATTTTATTCATCATTCTAGTCTATTCATCTTTCTATTCAATTCTATTTATCTTTCTATTCTATTCACCTTTCTATTCTAATCTACTCCCGTTCCATTCTCGGAAGCTGGCTGTTTTCTTGCAGACCTTTCATGACTCAGCTAGGCCAGGGCTTTTCAACCAGTGGTACGGGTACCACCTGTGGTATGTTGGCACCTGGTAGGTGGTACGCGACCATCCTAGAAAAGTAGCGGGGGAGGGGAATGAGAGCGTTGCCGGGTGGGCAGGCAGGTGTCTTGCTCGGCTGTGCCTTGGGGGGCACTTTTTTCAATGCCATTGTAACTTCGAACAGTCACTAAGCAAACTGTTGTAAGTCGAGGACTACCTGTACTTTATCACTTTTTTCCTTTTTTGGGGGGGGTCATCAAGTTTTTGACACCTTGCTAGGTGACTGGTGGTACTCGGATGTTGCCATATCCTAAAAGTGGTACAATGGGTGAAAAGATTGAAAAGCCCTAAGCTAGGCAACATCATCAGTGAGAGAGCAAACCCCCCCCCCTTCTCACACTGATGTTATTACCTAGTTGGGTCATGGAACGTCTCTGAGAAAACCACCAAGTTCAAAGCATTGACCCTACAACCCTCTTCTTCCTCCTCCTCCTCCTCCTCCTCCTCACTCCTCCTAGCCTTGGTGATGTTACCTAGTTTGGTAATGAAAGGTTTCCAAGAAAACCACAAACTCAGAGCATTAAGGACCCTGCAACCGCCCTCCTCACGAACCCCATTCCCTTCTAGCCTTGATGAATTGTCTGCAAGAAAACAACCCAGCTCAAAGAGCGTCAAGGACCCCCACAATTTAACCCTGAGCTACAGATATTTGCTCTTTTCATTGTCCCACCAGGCGATCTTGTGACCTGGCTGGGGGGGGGGAATCTTTAAAAGCGTCCTGCCTTGTGCTGATCAGAGGGGGGGTCTGCTGTTCACCAGGCCTGTTTCCTTTCTAGATAAGGAGAGGTGTCTGGCGCTGCAGAAGGCCTTGCTGGAAGCACACGAAAAATTCTGCTTCTGGCCCGACAGCCCTTCCCCAGGTAAGCAAGGAGAAAGAAACAGCCAAGTTGGCTCACAGCTGGACACGTGGGTCTTCCAGATGTGGAGGCTAACCGATCCTCCACCGTTGGGGGGGGGGAGATGCTCAAAAGAGAGCCTGGTGAAATTTTAGCTCTACATAACCTTCAACAACCCCATTACTTTTAGTACTAATGTACTAATGCAGGGGTAGGCAACCCTGGCTCTTTTATGACTTGTGGACTTCAACTCACAGAATTCCTGGCTGGCTGGGGCAGGATTAGGCAACCTGGGCTCTTTTATGACTGGTGGACTTCAACTCCCAGAATGCCTGAGCCAGCCATACTGAGGGGAAAGGGAGAGGTTTCCATGGTGAGCCATGGCGGCTCAGGAATTCTGGGAGTTGAAGTCCACGAGTCCTAAAAGAGCCAAGATTGCCTACCCCTGTCCTAAGTCCTCCTGTTTTAAGCGGTGAGCCTCCTAGACCAGGGGTAGGCAACCTTGGCTCTTTTATGACTGGTGGACTTCAACTCCCAGAATTCCTGAGCCAGCATGGCTCAGCTTGGAAACCTCTCCCTTTACCCTCAGCGTGGCTGGCTCAGGAATTCTGGGAGTTGAAGTCCACGAATCATGAAGGGGCCATAGTTCCCCCATGCTGGCTCAGGAATTCTGGGAGTTGAAGTCCACCAGTCATAAAGCAGCCTAGGCCAGGGGTAGGCAACCTTGGCTCTTTTATGACTGGTGGACTTCAACTCCCGGAATTCCTGAGCCAGCATGGGGGAACTATGGCCCCTTCATGATTTGTGGACTTCAACTCCCAGAATTCCTGAGCCACCATGGCTCAGCTTGGAAACCTCTCCCTTTCCCCTCAGCGTGGCTGGCTCAGGAATTCTGGGAGTTGAAGTCCACGAGTCATAAACGAGCCCAGGTTGCCTAATCCTGTACTAATGCAACACTGTGGTAAAATGAAGCGAACCTCACTTCACAAACTTCTCACTTAAATTTTGGGCTCCTTTGCGGTCGTAAGTAGAGGACTGCCTGCAGACTGCTTCTTTTTTTGGACTAACTAGATCGGTTTTCGGTGCTGCTGGTGGAGGAGCCCCGGGCTCTTTTTGACGACTTCCTCGAACGCTTCCAGAGTCTGTGTCGGCTGCAACTTCAGCTGCCTTCTCTGAAGCCAGACGCTCTCAAAAACGTGGTAAGCCCTCGGTCGTCCAGTCAAGGAGGGGTGAGGGAAGGGGGTCTCCAGCCTCCCCTTCAAGGCCTGCCCCATTTGGGGACGATAAACTGGCCACAGCCTGAAGAGAGAGCGTACGGGTGGTCCTTGCCTTATTTAGTGACCGTTCAAAGTCCCGACAGCCCTGCAGGTTCCAAGTGTCCCTGTCCCTTCCTCCCCTGCAAAGTCATGTGGAGATACTTTGGGCACTTGGGAACCAGGCTGAATGAAACATTCTGGAGGAATCCAGGATGTTCTGTCTGTTTTTGGATCATGATGATTTGATGTTCCGAGGAGGTAAAAACATACGAAGAACGGCTGCGGGACTTGGGGTTGGCTAGTGTAAAGAAAAGAAGAAATAGGGGAGACATGATAACAGCGATCCAGTATTTGAGGCGCTGCCCCAAAGAAGAGGGAGTCAAGCTATTCTCCAAAGCATCAGAGGGAAGGACGAGAAAAAATGGTTGGAAACTGACCAAGGAGAGAAGCAACCTGGAATTAAGGAGAAACTTCCTGACAATTAACCAGTGGAACAGCTGGCCACCAGAAATCATGGGCGTTCCATCACTGGAGATTTTTAAGAAGAAGCTAGACAGTCACTTGTCTGAGATGGTAGGTTTTTTCTGCTTGAGCAGGGGGCAGGACTAGATGACCTCCAAGGTCCCTTCCACATTCTATTCTATTCCATTCCATCTATTCTATTCCATTCCATTTATTCTACTCCACTCCATTCCATTCCTTCTACTCTACTCCACTCCACTCCATTTATTCTATTCTATTCCGTTTTCTATTCTATATTCTATTCCACTCCACTCCATTCCATCCTATTCTATTCTATTCTATTCTATTCTATTCCCTATTTTCTATTCTATATTCTATTCTATTCCCTATTTTCTATTCTATATTCTATCCTATTCCCTATTTTCTATTCTATATTCTATTCCACTCCATTCTATTCTATTCTATTCCTAGTCTACTCTATTCCATTCCATTCTATTGTATTCTATTCCATTCCATTCCATTTCTTAAATTTAAATAGCTGCCTATCTCACATAACCAGGTTTACTGTATAACTGAAGCATCAAAAACCAAGCAAGCAAAACCATTCATAAACAAACTCATTAAAGTACAAGAATTAGAGCAAGAATCACAGGGCAGCGTCGCATCCCGCAATCACATGACCGATTAACAGGATAACACAGTTGGAAGGGACGTTGGAGGTGTTCTAGTCCAATTTGCCACTCAGAATGGCCAAACCCTCCTTGGAACATCGGATCCGCACGATTCAAAGACCAGAAAAATTGGGGGGGGGGACTGGGGGGGTTCTGTTTTTTTTTTCCCTAAACGGCTTTGGAAAAAAACAGGGAAAACCCTGTTTCCCCCCCTCCCAATTTTTGGGTTTTTTTCTCAGGCCTTCCCATCTCTAGACTCCAAAGTGCTTGAAATGGTGTTCTTCTATCAAAAACAGCATTGCTGGCTGTGGAATTCTGGGAGTTGAAGTCCACATGCCTTAAAATTGTCAAGGTTGAGAAACACTGATCAAAAAGAATAGCCATTTCTTGAGGGGGGGGGAGCTGTTGAGTAATTGACCGTAGCGTGCTTGCTTCCCAGGCCTTGACGGAGGAGAAAGTTAGCTTTCTCTTGCAATTGATCGAGGAGGAGCAGCAGCAGGAGGGAGAGAATGAGGAGGAGAAGTGCAAAACCGAAGGCGAGAAGACGTCGGCCAAGCGGCCTTTAGACCTCCTTCACGTCCACATCACGGCTTGCATCCTGGCCCTTTGTGGCTGGACCAGCAGGTCGGTAGAAAAAACGGAATCCGGAAAGGCCCAATTTTTCACCCCCACTCTCCCCCAAACTAACATTTATTTCTAGTTTCTGGCAAAAAACAAAAACAAAAACCCACTGTATTAAGATTGCCGGGAGAAATATGGACAACCTAAGACCGTGATGGCGAACCTTTTAGTGCCCCAAAACTCCACCACCACCCCTGTCCCTGCTCTGCTATGCCCGCTGGACCACCCCCACCTCCACAGCCCGCCACAGATCACCCAGGCAGCCCAGCAGCGCCATGGTGGCCAAGCCCTCCGTCCGTGCCCTGCAGCAGTTTTGTCCCCACTGCCCAGCTACCATGTCCTTGGCTGCGCAGCATTGCGTGGGCCGTGCCTGGGGGCGATTCTCCTCTGGAGGGCTGCTGGTGAGGGGCCATGGGTGGAGGCGGGGCTGGGGTGACGGTGCGTGTGCCCACAGAGAGAGCTCTGAGTGCCGCCTCCAGCACGCGTGCCATAGGTTTGCCACCACTGACCTAAGATATGCAGACGATACCACTCTAGTGGCAGAAAGTGAAGAGGAACTAAAGAGCCTCTTGATGCGGGTGAAGAAGGAGAGTGCAAAAGTGGGCTTGAAACTCAACATTAAGAAAACCAAAATCATGGCATCCGGCCCTCTCAATTCCTGGCCAATAGATGGGGAAGAAATGGAGGTAGTGACCGATTTGATCTTCCTGGGCTCCAGGATCACTGCAGATGGGTACCGCAGCTAAGAAATTAAAAGACGCTTGCTCCTGGGGAGGAAAGCTATGGCAAATCTAGACAGCATACTAAAAAGCAGAGACATCACCCTGCCAACAAAAGTGCGTATAGTCCAGGCCATGGTTCTCCCAGTTGCAATGTATGGCTGTGAAAGTTGGACCATAACAAAGGCTGAGTGCCAAAGAATGGAGGCCTTTGAACTCTGGTGCTGGAGAAGACTCCTGCGAGTCCCCTGGACTGCAAGGCGATCCAACCGGTCAGTCCTAGAAGAGATCAATCCCGACTGTTCTTTAGAAGGCCAGATCCTGAAGTTGAAACTCAAGTACTTGGGCCACCTAATGAGAAGGAAGGACTCACTGGAGAAGGGCCTAATGCTGGGAAAGATGGAGGGCAAGAGAAGAAGGGGACGACAGAGAAGGAGGTGGCTGGATGGAGTCACTGAAGCAGGAGGCGTGAGCTTCAATGGACTCCAGAAGATGGCAGAGGACAGGAAGGCCTGGAGGAACGTTGTCCATGGGGTCGCGATGGGTCAGACACCACTTTGCAACTAATAATAAGAATTTTCTTTTGACAACTGACACGTTCACTTTATGGCCTCCGTCTTCGCTTAATGACACCACAAGGAAGGTTGTAAAATCAGGTGCTGTTACGTTGACTTACAACGCAACGTACAACTCTAATTCCAGGCTCAATCGTGGTGTAAATCAACCTATCCTTGAAAAAGGGCCCTTTTTGAACCCAGTACAGGTAGTCCTCGACTTTAAAAAGTTCATTTAGTGACTGAAGTTACCACGCCACTGAAAAAAGCAACTTGTGACTGTTTTTCACCCTTACGACCGTCGCAGCCTCCCTGTGATCATGTGATCAAAATCCAGACGCTGGGCGACTGGTTCCTATTTACGACGGTCGCAGCGTCCCGGGGATGTCACGTGATCCCCTTTTGAGACCTTCTGATAAGTCAATAGGGAAAGCCCAATTCACTTAACAATGATGTTACTCGCTTCACAGCTGCGGCGATCCACTTAATAACCGTAGTAAAGACAGGTTGCAAAAGGAGCCAAATAAATCTTCTGCTGAATGACAGAAAATTTGGGCTAGACCAGGGGTAGGCAACCTTGGCTTTTATGACTGGTGGACTTCAACTCCCAGAATTCCTGAGCCGCTATGGCTCGGCTTGGAAACTCTCCCTTTCCCCTCAGCATGGCTGGCTCAGGAATTCTGGGAGTTGAAGTCTACGAATCATAAAGCGGCCTAGGGCAGGGCTAGGCAACCTTGGCTTTTATGACTGGTGGACTTCAACACCCAGAATTCCTGAGCCACCATGGATCTGCTTGGGAACCTCCCTTTCCCCTCAGCATGGCTGGCTCAGGAATTCTGGGAGTTGAAGTCCACCAGTCATAAAAGAGCCAAAGTTGCCTATCTCTGGCCTAAGTCCTCCTGTTCTAAGCGGTGAGCCTCCTAGGCCAGGGGTAGGCAGCCTTGGCTCTTTTATGACTGGTGGACTTCAACTCCCAGAATTCCTGAGCCAGCATGAGGGAAATACGGCCCCCTCATGACTGGTGGACTTCAACTCCCAGAATTCCTGAGCCAGCATGGGGGAACTATGGCCCCCTCATGACTCGTGGACCTCAACTCCCAGAATTCCTGAGCTAGCATGGGGGAACTATGGCCCCTTCATAACTTGCGGACTTCAACTCCCAGAATTCCTGAGTCAGCATGAGGGAACTATGGCCCCCTCATGACTGGTGGACTTCAACTCCCAGAATTCCTGAGCCAGCATGAGGGAAACTTTGGCCCCCTCATGACTGGTGGACTTCAACTCCCAGAATTCCTGAGCCAGCATGAGGGAAATATGGCCCCCTCATGACTCGTGGACTTCAACTCCCAGATTTCCTGAGCTAGCATGGGGGAACTATGGCCCCTTCATAACTTGCGGACTTCAACTCCCAGAATTCCTGAGTCAGCATGAGGGAACTATGGCCCCTTCATAACTTGCGGACTTCAACTCCCAGAATTCCTGAGCTAGCATGGGGGAACTATGGCCCCTTCATAAGTTGCGGACTTCAACTCCCAGAATTCCTGAGCCAGCATGGCTCAGCTTGGAAACCTCCCTTTCCCCTCAGCATGGCTGGCTCAGGAATTCTGGGAGTTGAAGTCCATCAGTCATAAAAGAGCCCTGGGCTAGACGGTGGTCGTAACTGTATTTGAACCCACGTCCATCAAGGAAGACAAGTTCACTTAGCAGCAGCGATGCTAACCTAACAGCTGCAGTGACTCACTGAACAACCCTGGGCAGAAAGGCCGTAAAATGGGGCAAAACTCAAGTTTTTGCTTGGTAACAAAAAAAATTGGGCTCCACTGTGGTTGTAAGTCGGGGACCACCTGTACGTAATATTTAAATTTTGCTTTGCGTGAAAGGAATTTGCTTCAGTCTCTGATTTACTCCTTTTGGGGGGGGGTCTTTCTTCCTAGCCCTCCATCCGGATCTGTCCATCTGCCCTTGATCAGCTGCTGCCGCTGCATCAGGCGAGTGGGGCTGTGGGGTTTTCAGCAGCTGGAGACCACCGAGTCCGAGACGGGGACCCCCTCCACCATTGCCCCCGCTGCTGAGAAAGTCCCTCTGGGGCCCACCTCCCCTCGCCGGATGATCACCAGGAGCCAGGACACCAACGTCCCCCTGGGCTTGGAGCAGGTACACGCGCGAAGCTGGAGGGCCCAGCTTTTTTATACATAATATTTTATTAATTCTCCAATTTTCCATTTGAGTGTTTAAAAAGCAATGCGGCGGCTGGGTTAATCCATAGTTCGATAACAAAATCTTTAGTGCAAATCTCAGGTTACAACATCAGATATTTCTTCTCTTTTTTCCCTTAACATTTAAATAATAATAATAATAATGCCTATCCCAGGTCCTGGATAAGGACTCGATAGGTAGACAAAATGCCAAATCCAGTCTGAACATCTGGCTGACTGTGCGATGATCCATAATAATAATAATAATAATTGAAAGGGACCTTGGAGGTCATCTAGTCCAACTCCCTGCTCAGGCAGGAAACCCTATACCATTTCAAACAAATGGCTGTCCAGTCTCTTCTTAAAAACTTCCAGTTTTGGAGCATTCACTGCTTCTGGAGGCAGGTGGTTCCACTGGTTAATTAGAATAGAATGGAATGGAATGGAATGGCATGGAATAGAATAGAGCTGGAAGGGATCTTGGAGGTCATCTAGTCCAACCCCCTGCTCAGGGAGGAAACCCTATACCATTTCAGACAAATGGCCGTCCAGTCTCTTCTTAAAAACTTCCAGTGTTGGAGCATTCACGACTTCTGGAGGCAGGTGGTTCCACTGGTTAATTGTTCTCACTGTTAGGAAGTTTCTCCTTAGTTCTAGGTTGCTTCTCTCCTTGGTTAGTTTCCACCTTCCCTCCCTCCCTCTTCCTTCCTTCCTTCCTTCCTTCCTTCCTTCCTTCCTTCCTTCCTTCCTTCCTTCCTTCCTTCCTTCCTTCCTTCCTTCCCCCTTCCTCCCTTCCCACTTAGCAGTAGCCCTTAGACTTGTACACCACTTCACAGGACTTCATGGCCCCCTCTAAGCGCTTTACAGAGTCAGCCTATTTGCCACCAACCATCTGGGTCCTCACTTTACTGACCTACCTCGGAAGGACAGAAGGCTGACTCGACCTTTTAGCCGGTCAGGATCGAACTTCCAAACTGCTTCTGGGTTTGTTCTCCAGGTAGTCCTTGACTTACAACCCCAGTTTGGGGTTGCTGAGCATGACAATTGTTAAGTGAGTTTTGCCCCCATTTTATGACCTGGATGCTAAGCGAATCCCTGCAGTTAAGTTATTAACACAGTTGTTAAGTGAATCCGGCTTCCCCCGTTGACTTTGCTTAGGGGTAGTCGCAAAAGGGGATCAGGTGACCCCACAGGGACGCCGCGACCGTCAGAAGGGTGAACCCATGGCCATACGTCTGAATTTTGATCTCGTGATCCTGGGGATCCTGCAGTGGTCATAAGTGTGAAAAACGGGCCTATAAGTCTCTTTAACGCCGTTGTAACTCTAACAGTCACTAAACGAAGCGTTGTAAGTTGAGGACTTATCAGGGCTTCCTGACCCAAGGATCTGGCGATCTCCACTGACGTCTCCTCTCTGTGGTCTCTTTTCCCCTTTTTCCCTACAGCACGAGAAGAGCCCCTCCCCAGTCACCAGCCGCACGCGGGGCGGGGACAGCTGCAGCGAGCGCCCCGAGGCCGAACCCCCCAGCCCCACCACCCGGAGCCGTCCGGTGACCCGCAGCATGGGCCACGGGGACGTCTGCGGCCTGGGCGCCGAAGTGCCCTCCAGCCCTCACCGCAGAGCCAAGCGGCCACGCCTGTACTCCTCCAGCAGTTCGGTGAGCGCGTCGCTACTTCATTTATTTGCTCATTACTTTTATAAACAAACTCCAGGGGGCCAACACCTCTCCTCCTCTTTCTTCCTCCTCTCCTCCCCACCACAACGACAACCCTGTGAGGTGGGTTGGGCTGAGAGAGAGAGAGAGGGATTGGTGCAAATGCACTCAGCTGGCTTTCATGGCTAAGGCGGGACTAGAACTCACCTCCTCCTGCTGATTGGTCCACTCAGCTGGCTTTCATGGCTAAGGCGGGACTAGAACTCACCTCCTCCTGCTGATTGGTCCAAGTTCACTCAACTGGCTTTCGTGGCTAAGGCGGGACTAGAACTCACCTCCTCCTGGTGATTGGTCCAAATTCACTCAACTGGCTTTCGTGGCTAAGGTGGGACTAGAATTCACCTCCTCCTGCTGATTGGTCCAATCCACTCAGCTGGCTTTTGTGGCTAAGGCGCGACTAGAACTCCCCTCCTCCTGCTGATTGGTCCAAGTCCACTCAACTGGCTTTCATGGCTAGGGCAGGACTAGAACTCACCTCCTCCTGGTGATTGGTCCAAGTCCACTCAGCTGGCTTTCATGGCTAAGGCGGGACTAGAACTCAGCTCCTCCTGCTGATTGGTCCAAGTCCACTCAACTGGCTTTCATGGCTAGACTAGAACTCACTGTCTCCTGGTGATTGGCCCACTGTCACGCATCCAGTGTTCAATGCCAGAGGCAGGCCTAGAACTGCTATGAGGATGAGTGCCATAGTAATTTTGAGTTTTGGTCACTAAGAGAATGATTGTAAGTTGAGGACTAACTATACAAAAGACGCTAATAAAGACTGGAATCGAAATCTCAACTCTGGTAAAGAATAACCTCACCTTGATTCTCTTTCGTATAAGAGGGGGGCAAAAAAGGAAACTTGAGCAGCTCAAGGTCCTGTTATTAGGCCCTAAAACCATAAGGTCCTTTTAAGGTCTGTTTTCCTGACCTGGCCTACCTTGAAGGGATAAAGATCTAATACAGGAACTGTCAAACTTGGCCACTTTAAGTCTTGTGGACTTCAACTCCCAGAATTCCCCAGCCAGTATGGGGGAATTGTAACTTCGGACGTTCACAAAACCGAAGTCAAGGGTTACTTGTAGTTTGTTGTTAGTTGTGAAGTCGTGTCCGACCCATCGCGACCCCATGGACAGCGTTCCTCCAGGCCTTCCTGTCCTCTACCATCTTCTGGAGTCCATTGAAACTCACGCCTCCTGCTTCAGAGACTCCATCCAGCCACCTCCTTCTCTGTCGTCCCCTTCTTCTATTATTGCCCTCCATCTTTCCCAGCATTAGGCTCTTCTCCAGTGAGTCCTTCCTTCTCATCAGGTGGCCAAAGTAGTTGAGTTTCAGCGTCAGGATCTGACCTTCTAAAGAGCAGTCGGGGTTGATCTCTTCTAGGATTGACCGGTTGGATCGCCTTGCAGTCCAGGGGACTCGCAGGAGTCTTCTCCAGCACCAGAGTTTAAAGGCCTCCATTCTTTGGCACTCTTGTAGTTAAGAAGGGTTACCAAAAAAAATCACAAAAAAACTCCTACTGACAGGCAAAATGGGAAAGGCCTAAAGCAGGGCTAGGCAACCTTGGCTCTTTTATGACTCGTGGACTTCAACTCCCAGAATTCCTGAGCCAGCCATGCTGAGGGGAAAGGGAGAGGTTTCAAGCTGAGCCAGGCTGGCTGAGGAATTCTGGGAGTTGAAGTCCACAAGTCATGAGGGGGCCATAGTTCCCTCATGCTGGCTGAGGAATTCTGGGAGTCCTCCAATCATAAAAGAGCCAAGGTTTCCTACCCCTGGCCTAAAGCAACACGCGGAGATATCCCAAGGCCTTTCTGAAACATGGAAAAGAAGAAAAAAATAGAATGGGTCGAGGAAATGGATGACAGGGAAGATAACTGAAGAACGAGCCGTTTGTTCATCGAAACGGGGGTTACTAGATTCCTGACAGACTAAGTCACAAGGGTGACCAAGGTGAGCCATTAGGCTGATTCAGCCAAAAAGAGAAATACTATTTCGGGATTGTCAAGAAGAACATAAAGCACAAGAGATCATGGGAATCAGTTGTCCCGTTCTGTTTCACCTGCTCCGACCCCACTTGGCGTTCCATGTCCAGTTCTGGACACCTTAAATCGAAACAGGATGTCATCAAACTGGGGAGCACCTTCAGAGAAGATCCACCCAAGTTGGTTCCAAGTTCGGTCAAGCAAGGTGAAAGGAGGACCTTAGTCTGCAGAAGAGAAGATGCAGGAGACACATGAGGGAGGCCTTCATTGGCAATCAAGGTGGAGAGATCTCACCCAAATGGCTCCCAACTGGTCAGTAGCCCAGTCGGGTTGTTCCTCATCAGATGCCTCCAGAACAGGGGTTCTCAACCTTGGCAACTTTAAGACTTGTGGACTTCAACTCCCAGAATTCCTCAGCCAATTAGAAGTTGAAGTCCCCATACAAGAAGAACGGATGTCAATTTGAAGAAGGCTAAGTAAAATACCTTCTCATTCATCTCCTGTTCCATTTTTCTTCACTACATCTTAGATCAAAAGCTTGGTCAGCTCCCTCCAGGAACTAGTGGTCCATGTTAAAAGACCATTTCTGGTGCTTCGATGGAATATACAAATATCTGAGCCTGGGGTCAAAGGTCTCCAAGCTTGGCAAATTTTACATCTTGTGGATTTCAACTCAGCATGCCTGGCTGAGGAATTCTGGGAGTTGAAGCCCACAAGTCTTAAAGTTGCCCAGTTGAAGACCTCTGTCTTAGATAAAGATTTCATCCCTTACCCAACTTTGTTTAGTTGTGAGAATCCAGGCTGTTTTTCCTCCCCCCAACAGGATTCAATGACCCGGGTTTACTTTGACCCCCTTGCCCAGCACCGTGATTGGTGCCCGTGGGTCAACGAGGTGAAAGAGGCAACGGTGCTTGGAACCAAAGGAGACTTCTTGGAGCAGAAGGCAGACCGTGGCTGGCAGGTGGTCATGAAAGTTCTCCAGGCTTCCAGGCAGTCAGACAAGCCAGCCCATCTGGAGAGCGAGGTGAGTCGGGGCACCCATGGTCAACCACTTGGTCTACGGCAGGAGTGCCCAAACTTGGCAATTTGAAGACTTGTGGACTTCAACTCCCAGAATTCCCCAGCCAGCCGGGCTTTTAACTCCGCCCCCAGTTTCTGCCGCTCCTTCTCCTACAGATCTGTATTGTAAAATTGTAAGCCATCTAACACTGCTAAGTATCCCCCACCTAGTCCAGTTGAACTACTACGTTCAGACATGTCCACACATCGTCAAGAGGTCAAAGATGAAAAACACCGGACTGGATGACAAAGTTCGTCCAAATCAGTGGTTCTCAACCTGTGGGTCGGGACCCCATTTGGGGTCGAACGACCATTTCACGGGGGTCACCAAACAACGCAGTCCGCCATTTTTTCCCCCTTTTCCTTAGCTGTGCTACTCCCTTTTATTCTATTGGCTTTTGAAAGCCAATAGAATAGACTCCCTTGAATAGAGTCTAATTCTATTGGCTTTCCAAAGCCAATAGGAATTGTCCAGGCTGTCTCTGCCCTGCTGAGCCCACCAACAGTCCCAGTCTGCAAACAGTGCTGCACCAGTTGAGTAGTCTTCGACTTACGACCGGTTGAGTAGTCCTTGACTTACGACCGGTTGGAGGTCGCGGCATTAAAAAGGTTGAGAACCACTGGTCCAAATCCTTCCAATCCGACTTTATGAGGTACATCAAGAATTGGTTAGGTGCTGCCTTCCGCGGATATAAGTCACAAAGTTGGATCAGAAGGATGTGGAGGAACTGTGGACATCATCTAGTTCAGCACTTCTCAACCTTGGCCCCTTGAAGATGCGTGGGCTTCAATTTCCCAGAATTCTCCAGCGAGCCTTACTTAAGGTGGGACTGGAACTCACCATCTCCGAGTGATTGGCCCAAAATCGCCCAGCCGGATTCCATCCCTAAGGCGAGGACTAGAACTCACCGTCTCCTGGTGATTGGCCCAAAGTTACGTAGCTGGCTTTCATTCCTAAGGCGGGACTAGAACTCACCATCTCCTGGTGATTGGTCCAGAGTCACTCACCTATCGTTCATGCCTAAAATGGGACTACCATTCACCATCTCTTGTGATTGGCCCAGAGTCACCCAGTTGTCTTTTAGGTCTAAGGCAGGACTAGAACTCACAATCCCCTGGTGTTTGGTGGAACTAGAACTCACTGTCTCTTGATAACTGGCCCAAAGTCACTCACCCATCTTTCATTCCTAAGGCAGAATTCATAGTCTCCTGGGGATTGGCCCAAAGTCACCCAGCCAGCTTTCACGCCTAAGGCGGGATTAGAACTCCCCGTCTCCTGGTGATTGACCCAAAGTCACCCAGTCATCTTTCACGTCACCCAGTCATTTTTCATGCCAAAGGCGGGACTAGAACTCACCGTCTGCTGGTGATTGGCCCAAAGCCACCCAGCCAGCTTTCATGCCTAAGGCGGGACTAGAACTCACTGTCTCCTGGTGATTGGCCCAAAGCCACCCAGCCAGCTTTCATGCCTAAGGCGGGACTAGAACTCACTGTCTCCTGGTGATTGGCCCAAAGCCACCCAGCCAGCTTTCATGCCGAAGGCGGGACTAGAACTCACCGTCTCCTGGTGATTGGCCCAAAGTCACCCAGTCATCTTTTATGCCTAAAGCGGGATTAGAACTCGCAGCCTCCCAATGTCTAGCCCGCTGCCTTCCCCAGTAGACCATACCAGTTCCCTCTCAACCTTGTTTTTACCTCCGTGACGCTCCACTTTCTCATTCGTAGCTCTCTCTTTCTCCTATCCTCTGCAGAGTCTCTCGACCAAAAGCCGCAAAGTCTTCCAGATTTTCCGCCAGTGGGAAGCTGCCTGCTCCTCCTGAAGACCTGGAGGCAGCCAAGGATGCTCGGCGGAACTTTTCCCCGTTCGGTTAGCAGGAGGGACATGGCGAGACCCCGGGAGCAACGATTACGTACCACCTTACCCGTGGCAAGTCTCACCTTGCCCCCTGTCCACAGATAGAAGCGTGGGCAGTGCCCGCCTCACCCAGAAGATGAGGCCTACCTGCCTTGCAGATCCCCCTTCGGAGGTGGGCAACACTACCTGTGCATTTGTGCCACCCTTGCACCGGTTCCCAGTTGCCTGGATACACCAGCACCCCGAGGCTAGGTCCGTTCTGCAACATCCTTGGGGTGCCATTTGAGTCTTGGCTTCCTTCCTTCTGCCCCTCCCTCTGCAGGGGGGGGATCCGTGGAGTTAGTTTGGGGGGGCCCGAGCAGACATTCTTAGCACCAGCACAAATATCGGTCCCTGGCACTCGTCCTGGGGCCTGACATTCCCGTTACACGCTGCATGTGAAAATGTTTATTAGCTGCCCTGGGTTCGAGTTGAACCGAGGCGTAGTTTGTTTGCAACTCGGATGGAAGTGGAACACTTGTTGGCTTCTTATTTCTACCCGGAAAAGAGAAGGACCTCCCAGAATTCCCTGTGACGATAGTCAGTCTCTCTTCTGGCAAAAATAAAAAAAAAATATATTAACAATCCGGTTTTATCATTTGAAAGATCAGGATTTGTCTTTCCTCCGGAGATGTGGGAAAAATTGGGGGAGAGCTTGCCTCAAATCAGGGGTGATCGACGATGTCAACTTTTAAGACGGGTGGACTTCAACTCCCAGAATTCCTTAGCCAGCTGTGCAGAGTGGATTTCAACTCCCAGAATTCCTTAGCCAGCTGGGCAGGAGGGATTTTAACTCCCAGAATTCCTTAGCTGGGCAGGGTGGATTTCAACTCCCAGAATTCCTTAGCCAGCTGGGCAGGATGGACTTCAACTCCCAGAATTCCTTAGCCAGCTGGGCAGGAGGGATTTCAACTCCCAGAATTCCTTAGCTGGGCAGGGTGAATTTCAACTCCCAGAATTCCTTAGCCAGCTGCGCAGGGTGGATTTCAACTCCCAGAATTCCTTAGCCAGCTGCGCAGGGTGGATTTCAACTCCCAGAATTCCTTAGCCAGCTGCGCAGGGTGGATTTCAACTCCCAGAATTCCCTAGCCAGCCGTGCATGGGAGTTGAAGTCCCATTCTGGGAGTCGAAGTCCGCCAGTCTTAAAAGTTGACAAAATTAGACACCCCTGCCTTAAATATAAAGTTGTGTATGTTGTAAACCACCTAAATATCAGAGGTTATGGATGTACAGGTGAGGGCTGCTTTACACCTGGTTAACAAGGCTGCTTCATGCATAGCTGGACCCCTTCATTAAGAAAAAACTACCTTGTGCAGTGTTTGTATATAATAAACAACAGAATTGGGGTGCGTTTATTTTGCGTTTTTGTGATGTGCGTCTCACTTTTCTCACAGAAGCTGTTAGAGAGGGAGGGGGGACTTCTCATCCAGTCATCCAGAGGGTGAGGGTAGATTTGAATCCAGATCTTCTTAGACTTAATCCGGCGTTTTCGGCGCTGTCTCATGCCGGGATAGAAATTACGAGCTAAACCAATGAAAACCAAAGAAAACATTTCAAGGTCTTTGTGTTGGTTTTTGAGGAAGCTATCGGGGGACTATGTTGCGAAGAGAAAAGGGAGGCAATTTTAAAGAGTTTCAAAAGACCCAACCAAGGGTAGGCAACCTTGGCTCTTTTATGACTCGTGGACTTCAACTCCCAGAATTCCTGAGCCAGCATGGGGGAAAGTTTGGCCCCTTCATGACTGGTGGACTTCATCTCCCAGAATTCCTGAGCCAGCCTGGCTCACAATGGAAACCTCTCCCTTTCCCCTCAGCGTGGCCGGCTCAGGAATTCTGGGAGTTGAAGTCCACCAGTCATAAAAGAGCCAAGGTTGCCTTACTCCTGGGCTAGGCCTCCTGTTCTAAGCGGTGAGCCTCCTAGACCAGGGGTAGACAACCTTGGCTCTTTTATGACTCATGGACTTCAGCTCCCAGAATTCCTGAGCCAGCATGGGGGAACTATGGCCTCCTTTATGACTTGTGGACTTCAACTCCCAGAATTCCTCAGCCAGCATGGGGGAACTATGGCCTCCTTCATGACTTGCGGACTTCAACTCCCAGAATTCCTCAGCCAGCATGGGAGAACTCCGCTTGGAAACCTCCCTTTCCCCTCAGCGTGGCTGGCTCAGGAATTCTGGGAGTTGAAGTCCACCAGTCATAAAAGAGCCAAGGTTGCCTACCCCTGACCCAAATTCACAATTCTAAACTGAACAGAACTGACGAAGCTTCTTGGATGAGAAGCGAAACGTTTTCAAAGGGGGTAAAATATAAATACCCGGAAAGTCCAATTGCCTTTGGGGAAAAAGCACCTTTGGGTCACATGGAAGCCGTTGGCCAGGTGAGTCGCTGGTGAGACACTTGACAGATGTGCCCTCAGCCGGAAAGACAAATCAAAACAACATTGCATCCAGGCCACTCACTCGCTGCTCCATCGCCAGAGGACAATTTTTCACAGCGTGATGATGAGACACACCTTGGCAGACGAATCCCTACACGTGCGACATTTCCCTCAGAGCCTTTGATGTTAGCTGCAACCCCGGAAGTCGGGTGGATTAACAACAAGGAGTGTGGCAGCCTCAGCCCACACGGCTTGGCACTTTGGCTGGCATCACGGGACGCCCGGCGAGGAAATTGAGTCAGGCTAGGCTGACCTGGAGGAGGTGGCAGATTCCCTGAAAGGTGAACCATCCTGGGCTGGAAATGAAGGCGGGAAGAATCCAAACATCAGGAGGTTCTTCTTGGCAACTTTTCTGACTCAAAATTGTATTGTTTAGTTTGCGGGTGTGAATGTGTACTATCAACAAAAATGCAAAAGAAAAAAAAATTGTGTATAAAAAGAAGAGAGAGAGAAAAAAAACCCAAATATCAAATAAATTTAACATTAAACATAAAGAATCCATCCTGGTTGGATGCTGTAAAAAAATATTTAAAAAAAAAAATCACTGAAAAGTACTTCCTTTACATAATGGGTCTACAAATAGGTGTAAGCTTTCCCGTCCTTATTTAACAAGAATATATTACTATATAAAAAAATAAGCAAATATTCCAGAGGAGGGGATCTCTATCTGATAATCAAATTGACCCAACATCTAATCATTACATAGACAGACACACAGGGAGAGTGAGCGAGAGAGAAAGGCAGACAGACGATAACAGAGAGAGAGAGAGAAGAGAGAGAGAGAGAGAGAAACAGATGAAAGACAAAGGCAGAGAGACACACGAAGATTATAAAAATAGACAGACAGATAGATGAAAGACGGAGAAAGGCAGAGAGATACGAAGATTAGATGATAGATAGATAGATAGATAGATAGATAGATAGATAGATAGATAGATAGAAGACAGACAGAAACAGATGTCTGAGACGGAGAAAGGCAGAGAGACATGAAGATTAGATAGAAACAGATAGATGAAAGAGAGAAAGGCAGAGAGACATGAAGATTAGATAGATAGACAGACAGACAAATAGACAGACAGATAGATAGATACAGATAGATGAAAGACGGAGAAAGGCAGAGAGAGACACAAAGATTAGATAGATGATAGACAGATAGACAAACAGATAGATGAAAGGCAGAGAGAGACACACGAAGATTATAAAGTGATAGATAGAAACAGATGAAAGACGGAGAAAGGCAGAGACAGATTATAAAGATAGATGATAGACAGACAGACAGACAGACAGACATAGATGAAAAATAGAAAAAAAAATCATAAATTGTATTGAAAGACATTCAATGTTGCAAGCCGCAACTGGATTCCTTGGACGCCTGGTGTGGCTGGATGCACAACAAACAACAAAATATAGATCATCTTATTGTATTACTTGCAAACGCTGAGAAGGCTTAGATTTGGGCTCAGTTGTGGTCCTAAGCAAAGGACTTACCTGTGTTTGCTTTTTCTTTCTCTTTGAACTTCTCTTTCCACAATGGATGGCATTTAAAGCTGCTCTTATATTTTAAAAAAAAAAAGAAAAAACCCAATTAATTCAACCTTAGTTGATTAATTACATACCTTAATTAAGTGATTGCATCTGGATGCCTTTGCATATTGAAAAGTCTAATGTTATTATAGGATTATTCCTGCATGGCTTCAGGAAAACACTTCTGCAAAGAAGAGAATGCTTTCTCTAAATTTGCACTCCAGGTTTTAAAATCTTTTCTTTATTATTATTATTTTTCTGGTGCTCAAGTCCTGTAATCAGGAAACGCTGAAAGAATGGGCTTTTTTTTTTAAAGGCTTCAGTGAAAGCAAAGCTCTTTTGTAGCCATGCTGTGTCAAAAGCAGCACCGTCAGCTGCGGAAAATCTAGAGAAAAGAATAAAAAATAAAAAGAATTTTTTTCACTGGATTGTGAATAAAAAGGGCTAGGCTGCACCTATAGAGCTGAAAGTCCACTCATCTTAAAGCTGCCAGATTTGAAAAAAATATGTGCCTGATAATCTTTGTCTAGTTGTAGGAACTCAGCAGCTTCACTGTAGCTTGCAGAGGCATCTAATACAAGCTATCCATCCCTTGTTGCTACACGATTGCTGTGATTTAGGGTTAAACCTTTTACAGCAAACCAAGATTTAGACCAAGATAGCTAGGCACATTTGACAGTGCAGGTATAGTATGTGCAGGTATAGTATAGGTGGTACCTTGCTCAATAGTAGCAACTGTGAGAGGGATCTTGGAGTCCTAGTGGACCATCACCTAAATATGAGCCAGCAGTGTGCTGCAGATGCCAAAAAGGCCAACACAGTGCTGGGCTGCATTAACAGAGGGATAGAATCAAGATCACATGAAGTATTAATACCACTTTACAATGCTTTAGTAAGGCCACACTTGGAATACGGCATCCAGTTTCGGTCACCACAATGTAAAGAAGATGTTGAGATTCTAGAAAGAGTACGGTGAAGAGCAACAAAGATGATTAGGGGACTGGAGGCTAAAACATATAAGGAACAGTTGCTGGAATTGGGTATGTCTCGTTTAAGGAAGAGAAGGACGAGGGGAGACAGGATAGCAGCGCTCCAGTATCTCAGGGGCTGCCCCAAAGAAGAGGGAGTCAAGCTATTCTCCAAAGCGCCTGAAGGCAGGACAAGAAGCAACGGATGGAAACTGATCAAGGAGAGAAGCAACCTGGAAGTAAGGATAAATTTCCTGACAGTGAGGACAATTAACCAGTGGAACAACCTGCCTCCAGAAGTGGTGAATGCTCCAACACTGGAAGTCTTTAAGAAGAGACTGGACAGCCATTTGTCTGAAATGGTGTAGGGTTTCCTGCCTGAGCAGGGGGTTGGACTAGATGACCTCCAAGGTCCCTTCCAACTTTATTTATTATTATTTTCACACAACCGTCGCAGCATTCCCTGTGGTCACGTGGTCACAATCCAGATATATGACGGTCGCAGCATCCCAGCATCATGTGATCAGCCGTTGCAACCTTCTGACCAGCAAACTCACTGGGGAAGCCAGGTTCACTTAACAACGGACTTACTCACTTAACAACTGTGGCAAGAAAGGTCGAAAAATGGGGCAAAACTCACTTAACAAACATCTC